GTGGTCCCTGTGTGGTACTCTGTATCTGTGTTGTCAGATTGTGGTCCCTGCATGGTACTCTGTGTTTGTGTGCGATTGTGTGCGTGTTGACAGATTGCGGTCCCTGTGTGGTACTCTCTGTCTGTGTGCAATTGTGTGCGTGTTGTCAGATTGTGGTCCCTGTGTGGTACTCTGTATCTGTGTTGTCAGATTGTGGTCCCTGCATGGTACTCTGTGTTTGTGTGCGATTGTGTGCGTGTTGACAGATTGCGGTCCCTGTGTGGTACTCTCTGTCTGTGTGCAATTGTGTGCGTGTTGTCAGATTGTGGTCCCTGTGTGGTACTCTGTATCTGTGTTGTCAGATTGTGGTCCCTGCATGGTACTCTGTGTTTGTGTGCGATTGTGTGCGTGTTGACAGATTGCGGTCCCTGTGTGGTACTCTCTGTCTGTGTGCAATTGTGTGCGTGTTGTCAGATTGTGGTCCCTGTGTGGTACTCTGTATCTGTGTTGTCAGATTGTGGTCCCTGCATGGTACTCTGTGTTTGTGTGCGATTGTGTGCGTGTTGACAGATTGCGGTCCCTGTGTGGTACTCTCTGTCTGTGTGCAATTGTGTGCGTGTTGTCAGATTGTGGTCCCTGTGTGGTACTCTGTATCTGTGTTGTCAGATTGTGGTCCCTGCATGGTACTCTGTGTTTGTGTGCGATTGTGTGCGTGTTGACAGATTGCGGTCCCTGTGTGGTACTCTCTGTCTGTGTGCAATTGTGTGCGTGTTGTCAGATTGTGGTCCCTGTGTGGTACTCTGTATCTGTGTTGTCAGATTGTGGTCCCTGCATGGTACTCTGTGTTTGTGTGCGATTGTGTGCGTGTTGACAGATCGCGGTCCCTGTGTGGTTCTCTGTGTCTGTGTGTGTTGACAGATCGGGAGGGGGGTGCGCCCGGATCGTTGTCCGCGCAGCCTGTGTCTGTGCGCGCCTGAGTCACGGTGCCCGCGCGTGTGCGAGTGTCTCGCAGCGCGGCCGCGCCCCTGCGCGCTGAGCCCGCGGCCAGGCTGTTTGTGCGTCCCGCGGAGCCGGCGGCGCCTCCATCCCCGGTGACCTTCGCCAGCGCGCTCCGGGGCACCGGG